CTATATATGCCACATTTCTTTCTCCATTTTTCTGTGACCAGCATTTATGCTATTTCAGCTAGAAGTCAGCTAGGGTGAACTGTACAGATATAAATATGAATTTCATGTATAATTTCAGTTTGATAGATGTAACTCCTTTAGGAATATACACAGGACAAGTAAAAGCTCGGAAAACGGAAATTCTATTTTTAGTTCGTTGAGTAAACTTCACACTTATTTCCAGAGTGGTTGTTCTACTTTACGTTTCCTCCAGCAATGCAAAAGTGTCTCTCTTTCCTCACAGCCTCACCAGCATTTCATATGTTTTATGTTCTTAGTGATAGCAAAACTTGAGTGGACTAAAATGGCATGTCATGGGTGTTTTGATTGGAATTTCCCTAATCGTTAAAGATATTCAACATTTTTAATGTATTTATCTGTTATTTGTACTTCTTTTGAAATGTAACATGTGGAATGCCAGTTTTTACAGAACCATTTATTAAAGAGTCTATCTTTCTTCCAGTGAACATGACTGGCTCCTTTATCAAAGATAAGACAGTTGGGTGTTTGGAGTTGTGTCTGCATTTTCTATTCTGTTCTACTGATCCTCAGGTCTTTTTTTTGTTTGGTTGGTTGTTTTTACAATACCATGCTGATTTTGTCACAGTAGGTTTGTAGTATAATTTCAAGTCAGATATTATGATATTCCTGACTTGTCTCTGTTGCCTAGAATTGCTTTGTATTCTAGGTCTCTTCTGGTTTCATATGAATTTTGGAAACGCTTTCTCTACCTCTGTGAAGCATGCTAATAGTATTTCTATTGGGATTGTATTAAATCTGTATCACAATTTTGGAAGTATGGCCATTTTCACTGATACTTCTTCCTATCCATTAGCAAAGAATATCTTTCCGTTTTCTGATATCCTTTCTAATCTCCCTTTTCAGAGTAGTGTAAATTTCATTGCATAGATCTTGACTCCCAAGTACTTTAAGTTTTTTGAATGTTATTATAAGAGCCTTTTTCCCTAATTTTTCTCTCTGTGAGTTTGTGGCTTGTATACAGGAATGCTATGATTTTTAAATGTTGACTTGTACCCTGTATACTGCTTTGCATACTGCTGAATTTGGTTATTAAACCTAGGAGTCTTTTGGTGGAGTTTTTGGAATTTGCTAGGTAAAGTATGAGATAATCTCCAAATAATGATAATTTAACTTCTCTTGTTCTATATTTAGTCCTTTTACATCTTTCCCTTGTTTAATTGTTCTGGCTAATGTTTTAAGAACTATATTGAATAGGAATGGACATCCTTGTTTTATTTCTAATTTTAAAGTGAAAATTTTCAAAGTTCAACAACAATGTTAGCTTTTGATTTGTCATAAATGTGTGCATATATATATATATATATATATATATATATAGGAGTTGTACTCAGACATAAATAAGGATAAACTTGAGACTTTTTTAAGTAAACGGATGCAACTCAAAACCACACTCCTAAATGACACAAATCAGACCCACATGTGTAAATAATATATAATCTCATTAGCATGGGAAGCTAAAAAGTACTTAAGATCCGAAATGTACAATGCATTTTATAAATTGAGAAGAAACTGCTCAAAAGAAAAGAGAGACTATAATGAGAGAAAGGGGAAAGGAAGGAAGAGAAAAGAGGAAAAAAATTAATGTTTAAGATATTTTAAGATAGTTATAAATGTGTGTCCCTTAGTTTATTGAAAAGAAAGATTCATTCTAATATTGTTTGACAATGTTTCATAACTATATCTTGTACTCAGTAAGTATTTTGTATCTTTTTGTTTGTTTGTTTTTGTACCAGGGATCAAATACGACTTCATGCTTGCATATGTTTGTGCCGCTAAGCTACATTCTCAGGTATCTATGACTACTTTGAAAATAACAATATACCGTGTATTAATTACCATTATTCTCCTATTATCTTTTTTTGAAATTTAGCTTTATTTATTTTTCTCTTTAAAAAAATGTTGAGGATATAGCTCAGCATGACAAGTGCCTGCCTGGCAAGCATGAGGTCTTAAGTTGGATTCTGGTACCAAAAAACTACACAAATAAAATAAAATAGTATTCTATTTATTTGCCTATATTTTGATTGAATTTATCATGGAGGTTTTGTTTCTGTTTCTATTTTTAATATTTTTCAGTTCTTCGTATGTTTTATATATTAGTTCTCTAATAAAAGCACAGTTGTTTTTCCTGCAGGTTGACTTTTCATTGCTGCTAGTTTTCTTTGTTTGGGAGAAACTTTTTAAACATTTGCTGCTTTCTGATACTATTTCTTTTACTGCCAGGGTTATGTTCAGGACGTCCTTGCCTGTGCCTGTCATTTCTTGCATATTATCTCCCAGCAGTCTCCAAATACCTGCATCTATGTCTAGGACTTTGATCAATTATGATCTGATTTTAGTACAGGGTGTTAGGGATCTAGTTTCAATCTTCTGCAAATTAATATTTAGTACCATTTGATCATAGAAAGTTTATGAAGAATGTACTTCTTATTTTCATTTTATGATGAGACCAAATTTAAGAGGGAAATCATATTGGGACCCAGATTTATGTGCAAGTCCATTTTAGAGTAGGATAGTATATTTTCCCCGTGTATGGTACATTTAATTGATCAACTCATTATAGTAGCTAAAAGTTTACAGAATATGAACATTTTAGAAAAGTTACAAACTTTGGCAAAGCAGATTCAACAATAATAGTTTTAATGTACCAGGAAAACAAAAAAAAAACACACAGAAGCCCTGGATTGAAATGTTGTCATGGTTTATGTCTGTGTCCCCCAGGTCTCATGAGTTTGCATTGTGCATTTGTTATTGGTTCATTGTCTAGTGCTTGGATTGATGGTGTCAGTGCTCCACCCACAAAGGGGTGAAGCCAGGATGTGATATAATGGCAGGAAGAAGGTGCTTCTTGCTCTTTGCCGGTTTCCACTTGCTGTTGGTGGCCGCCATGAACTGCAGCCCAGCCATGCCCGCCTGCCTTGGAGCCAACTGAGTGTGAACTGAAACCTCCAAAAACTGTAAGAAATAAACCTTTCCTTTCCCAGCTTGGGCTTCAAGTATTTTGTCTCAGCAACAAGTAAAAAGTGATTTTAGGGGCAAGGAAAATGCACAAATTCTGAGGGTAAGACGGCTTCCACCTCGATTACAAAGGGCCTGGCTGGCCAAGCAGTGTGCCCCTGAGAGGGCAATCTATGAAGATGTAAGTGTGAAGACAAAGGTGCAGTGGAGATCCCAGAAGTTTGAAAAAGCCAGTACGTGGGTAATCTAAGGAAAGTTGCAAAAATCGAGCAGAGAGGATTTAAGAGAAAAGCTGCGGGAGTTGAAATCACCGGAAGTGCTGTGGGGGTGGAATCACCCAAGCCTTTTGGAGCTTGCAACCAGATTGCTTCAGATGTTGAGCATGGAACTCTAGCACTTAATGTTTGCCCTGCTGGATGTTGGACTTGTTTTGTTTCAATACTTTATATTCCCCTGTTTGTAACTTTTGGAATGGTAATGTTTATCTTGTGCCTTTACATTTCAGAAACGTTTAGCCTTGTTTCATTTTTACAGGGCTTACAGTTAAGAGTTTGCCATAGATCTTGGAGGAGACTTTGGACTTGGACTTTTCAGCAATGAAGCTGAAAAGTTAGGACTTTGGCAACTCTTGGAGGTAGACTAAATGTCTTTTGTATAAAGGATGTACATGAGTCCTGGGGCCAGGGGTGGAATGTCATGGTTTATGTCTGTGGCCCCCAGGCCTCATGAGTTTGAATTGTGCATTTGTTATTGGTTCATTGTCTAGTGCTTGGATTGATGGTGGTCATTAAATCCCATTAAATCATCTTGTGAATGACATTATAAGTATGGTGATTTTACCTGGCTTTCATCCCTCCTCTTATGATATTACAGTATCATATCCTTACACCCACATAGAGGTGGAGCCAGGATGTGATGTAATGGCAGGAAGAAGGTGTGTCTTGCTCTTTGCTGGTTCTAGTTTGCTGTTGGCGGCCGCCATGAACTGCAGCCCAGCCATGCCCGCCTGCCTTGGAGCCAACTGAGTGTGGACTGAAACCTCCAAAAACTGTAAGAAATAAACCTTCCTTTCCCAACTTGGGCATCAGGTATTTTGTCACAGCAACGAGTAAAAAGTAACTAAACCAAATATATGTATATATATATATATATATATATATATATATATATATCTTCAAAATCTTTTAATGTAAGACAACTTCCTATTAACAAAGTATGTTTCAGAAAACTGAGGATTTAATTGAGTCATCTTAAATTTGTTAAAATTTATGTTTGTAAAACTTCTATAAAGCTATCTCCATAAAAAGTAGTAGTGACTGTACAGAACCACCAAAAACTCTGGCATGCTTTAAGCAAATTGCTTTTTTCAGTCTTTAAAGTATGAAACACCCTAATTATGATTGCTTAATAAATATTAATAACTCATAAAGATAAACATAAAAACATTATATAATTTTAATAGTACCCACCTAAATATTGTGCTATATTGTTACATGTTCAAATAACTAAAGTACTTACATATTCTATAGAAAAACTCTTAATCCCATTGGAAATAACCAGATAAATGTATTCTTTTTTTAAAATAACATTTTTATGTGATACATTTTTTCAATATTTCAAAACTTGCTAAAGAAAATTTTTTCACTTCTCAGCATATCTCTTGAAAACCGATTGATGAAATTCCAAATATTCAAGAGGATTCTTCAGTGAAATGACATGAAAAAGGTAACAAATGGAGAGAATCAACTTTATTCAGAAAGAATCCTCAGGATTATATATTCAGTCTATTTACAACAGTCTGAAACACATTTATAGTATCAAAAATCTCAGGGTGATTTTAGTGGCAGCTGAACACCTTTTATAATAAAGTATGAACAGAATTGTCAAAATAAAACCTTTACATAATTACTGTAAAGCATTATGTGTAAAACACTGAGAAAACTTTATTTGATTTTTTATACCTTGTTGCTTTCGCGGATCATAAATCTGAAGCCCAAACAAAGGCGGTCTTTCATGCCTCAGTAATGTCACTTCTCTCATGATCAAATCCAGTTGAAAAATGGAACCATTCATATAATCAGTCCAGAACAGGTAATTCCCATGATGTGACAATCCAAAAGGGTGGTTCAACTCTTTCCCACTATAAACAACCTGTAAAATATAAACACATTATGAAAAATCAGAAGTGTTCTTAGAAAAATTACTAAAATATTTTGAGAAAATAATGTTCAAATACACATAGCACGTAATAACATTTTAAGTCATATTTTCTTTCAGTACATTTGAAAAATACATTGTACAACACAAGCACTTTTTCTGTTTTTATAGAATGCTATTAGAATGATCGTGTACATTTCTCCCATTAAATCATCTTGTGAATGACATTATAAGTATGGTGATTTTACCTAGCTCTCATCCCTCCTCTTATGATATTACAGTATCATATCCTTAGAAATTGACATGAATCATTAATATCATTCTACCTAGTGATGTTATCCACCAAAGGGGCATGAAATAGAATGTTTAAAATGAGAATAAAAAGGATATTTGTAAATTCACTAGCCTAATGAAAATTGAAGAAGACTAGGTTATGACAGGAAGAGAGTAATCATTTTAATTTTGAAGAGAGAAATGCTTATTATTAGTACATAGGTAAGACAATAATAAATTTCAAATCTGTTTCTTAATATATTAATTTAGATTTCTGTTATATTTTGTTGTGTTTAAATGAAGTAATAATGTAATAAATATCCAGGTCCTTCATCACAGGTAGAATTGTAGAAGATGAATAAATAAAAGCTCCAAAATTACAATAAGTTTTAAGCTTCCATCATTCATAAAAATCATATTGTATGCAATACAAAAAAGTATTTTTATTTAAATTGTTAGAGAACTGATTAAGTTGTATACATAATTTAGGGTTCCCAATTCTAATTTTGCCCTTTTCTCCTAAGAGTTTTATAACAAATTATCAGGTTTTTGAGTAATTTAGACAATGTTTCTCTGCACTTTAATGTAAGCTAAAATGTTCTGTCCAGGAAAGTTCTATACTATGTGTTCAATACTATCTTGAAAGGAATAATAAACACTTTACTTTTGTTAAATATATGAAATTAGATTTAATAACAACCAGCTTTTCTTACATAGGAGAAAATATTTACAGCACTTTAAAAAAGAACCAAAGACTGAAATAATTTTAAGTGATTAATGAATGGACTATACTCTAAAATGAATACATCATACTCTAAAAGGGAAGGTACTGTAATGCCAAGGAAGCATTTTGATAATTTCTAACAAAACATTCTCCATCATTCAACTAACATTTGACATTGGGAATGTGTGGTTAGGTAATTTAAGATGCAACAACAAAGAGGCAATGTTTTTTCAACTATGCCTCTGTTTTATAGACAACTGCGTTATCCTCAATTTTACCCCCCAAATGCAAAAATCATTTCACAATAGTTCTTGCAAAAGAGACAAGAGGTAGCTGGTATCTATTTATACCAATAGTCTTGAAATTCATTGCATCCCCATTATGTATTTCACTTTCAATGTCACGAAGTTTTTATTCAAATAGATGCAATGTAATTATTTTCCATAATGCATACATTAAATTTTATCTGCAAATATTGAACACATTTGAGTAGATCTGGGTTGTCTGGGCATAGAAAACTCATCAATATTGTAGAAAAATGCATTTTAAAACAGCTCTGATATCCTGAGAGCTTCTTTTAAAAATCCCACAAATCCTGGTATACCACAGTGAGCTGGGCCTGGTCTCCAGGAGGCAAGTGCCAGCTGCATTGCTTAATGCTTAGCCTTCTTTAGCCTCCCCACTGAGACTATTGGCAGCTACCTCAGAGGGGTAAAACTAAACTTGAAAGTATTTTTAAGACAACATACAAGACTCTGCGAAAGAAGCCTGTAGTTTCAAAACAGCAGCATTTGTTTTTTACCTTCCTGTGCGTGCCATTCAAAAACACTTTCTCGATATGATCATAATAGGCATCACACCAGTACAGTGTGCTGGCGTGGAAGTCCAGAGTTAAACCATTCGGCCACAGCATCTTCGAAGTCACGAAAATCTGCCGATTGAAGCCATCCATCCAAGCCTTCTCGATCCTTCCCACGCTGGCATCTATTTCATCTTCCTCCCAGTCTGTCCAGTACATCCAACTAAGACATCAAAAGCAACAGCACCTACATATTATTTCAACCAGCCACCATAGAGAAACACACAGTTTGTGAAATCTATGACATCCTATCTCAAAGTTTATGTCTAGAGAAGGTGGGAACTTCTAAGGGAAGGAAAGATCTGTTCTACTTGGTTCATTTCGATTCCTTCTGGAAAACCCTGTTGTGGCTACTATCAAGCTTATTGATCTGATGGGAAAGGATGGATACCTATATATATATATTTTTTTAGTGCCAAGAAAAAAATCAGGGAAATGATTTTTTGAGGGATTTTCCTATTATTCAAATCTCACTTATTTCACAAAATAATTACACAATCAATTAAAGGCAGACTGCCTGACCTGAGAATCCAGGCCATAGTTAATGATTCACTTTAAACTTTCTTTAATCTTACATGAATTATTTTGAAGCCAGGCACTTGGATAGCTTTTGTTTTAAAGGGCACAGTTGTACTGTGGTTGTTTGGTCAGATCTGATTTATCTTCCTAATGCAAATCATCTATGCTTTATTGCTGCTTATTATTACCCCAAGTCTACAAAACATGATTTAGCTGCAAATAAGTTTAATAACAGCAGGTTGACTGACCTTGAGATTTTGAGCTTTAATTTCTATCTCAAACAAAGGCATCTGCCTTTATAAACAAATCTTTTGTGCAAGCCGAGTAACAGTGGGAGACAGGCCCTTGAGCTAAAGTTCCAGTTCTCTCATGAATAAGGTTAAAACCCACCACATGTTTTGTTTGTGGGTCATGTGAAAGTTTCTGAGTTATTAATTAAAAGGAGGGCTTAATTCACTTTGAACACAGTTTTATAAAGCCCAAAAGCTTTTGTAAATTGGCTGGTGCTAGAAATACCCTTGATAGATTTTCTGCCTCCCACATTTTGTGAACACTAATGAATTTCTGAGGTAATTTGAGCAAAATCTGTATCTATGACTACAAATCCTACTGTTTCCTAAATGAGCAGACTCATGAAAACAAGAATATAACATGTCATTCATGATTTTATATCAATTACATTGTTTTTAAATTCCATTAACAATTTACAACTGTATTAATAAGACTTTCAGACCCAACAGAGTATATTGAGATGCTTTTATTTTATTCATCCTAGAAATAAACATGGAAACATGCCCATTTGCATGCTACATTTTCCTTACTGTGGTTTTTATTTTGGGGACAAGTTAAGAGCTAGGAGAGACATTTGTTTGTGCTTTTTTCACATTAGGCATTACTATTTGATTTCACTTTGATAAATCCACCATGGAAAAAAAAAGAAATAAGCTCTTTTTATTTCAACTGATATTTTCCTCAAGAAATCTTCCATATCCTTAACAATGTTTTATTTTTATTGCTAATTTATAACTTGCAGAAATCTTTCCCTGAATTTTTTCCTTTGACCACAATACCATACATTTTTTGTGGTTTTATAACCTAAACCACATATTCATATGTGTGCATATATGCATTATATGCACACATATATATAAGACTCTCTGGATATTTTAGGCATATTTATTGGTTGACTGAAGAATTGTAAAATTGTCTATTAAATATTATTATATTTATTAGAAAAATGTATTTAAAGATATGTGATATCAACCTTCTAATAATCAGATATATGTATATCATCATCCTCATTTAATCACCCCCTTAAAAGATAGCAAAGGTGCCGGTACATTCCTGTAATCCCATTACCTAGTCATCAGAGGGAGAATGATTACAAATGCACACTCAAAGAAAATTAGCAATTTAGCAAAAGTCTGTGTCAACAGAATAAAAAGGACTGGGCCTGAAGCTCAGTGTGAAGCATGGGTTCAATTTCCAATAAAACATGTGCTAAGAGTAACATTATGACTACTTTTAAAGTCAATATCGAGAGATGATAATTCTAAAACATAAATATGCAGGATGTAACATAAAAGTTTTTGTGTGGGACTCTGGGTATTCATGACATATTTATGTTAATCTGGTTTTATGCTAACCAAAAAAAATCTTACCTCCATATTCAAGGTCTTATTAAATATAACTTCTTGATGAAATTTATTCTAAATTTCTGATACAGTCTGAGGATAAGACTCAAAAGACATTCTTTACTATTTTTCCAGTATGTTTTAGTATGTTTGGTAGTGTTTATTACATTTATGCCTTGAATGACATTGTATAACTGATGATTCCATTTAAAGTTAAAATATTTAAAGGAAGAATTGATTCATGATCCTAATTGTATCCTGAAATATCACATTAGTTTTGCTGAGATTAATCATTCTTCCAAGTGAAATTGTGTTATATGGTGATCGATACTGGAAATACTTAAATCTTAAACAGCTTCACTGTCAGAGAAATAAAGTAAATGTGTTTCCCTTCGAAAGACCTGATTTGATTGCTCACACATTAGCTGCTTTCTAGAGGTGTGATATTACTAACTGACATAAAAACACAGAAACATCCTGTTTGCAAGGAAGCATTCACTTAGCCTTGGACATATTCCACAGAGGTGATATTTTTAGAAGTCAGAACTGGAGATACAGGCTTCTTTCTTACTCTTATATATCGTGAAACATAAAATTATTGGAGAGGATTAAGATTATTTAATGTAGTTATCAGCATGAGGAACAATATTATAATAATCTGTTCCCCTCTAAATTTATCTGAATTTCAGCAGTTGAAGGAGTACCCTCCTCTTATTTCAGCGTATTGTGTTGCAATAACTATTTTCCTGTTCAAATTACAAACATTACAGTTCACACGGAACAGGTAAATGGCATCCTTCTTCAGATCTGCTGTGTTTCTCACATAGCTGTCTCGTCCTCAGTTGTGTTCCTAAACACGAGTTTTAAAACATGACCTTTATTCTTGCAATATTTAAAATATCATATCACCTAAATAAATCCAAACATCTTATCACAATATTGAAAATTTCTCCATATAGAAGGTTTCATCTAAAATATTCCTCCATATGCCCTGTCCTCTGTAGTTCACCTCACTTTATTTTACAGTAAAGTATTTTTGTACATACACCATGCCCACACTGTGATGACTTCCTTCAGTATAATTATATATTACAAAGTTCATTTCTATCTATTGATCTACAGCTGTGATGGCAAATATTTTAGAGTTTTCAGTGATATCAAACAGCCTGATATGCCACACATGCTACATAAGTTCGCCACCACTGCATGGTAGTTAATCATAAATTTTAAGAAGGCAATAAATTGTAGAAAATCAATGATTCTGTCATTTGTACTGATAAGAACAGATGACTGCTTTAGAGTAAAAGCAATGTAAATACATAAACTTTCTCTCTCTCTCTCTCTCTGTCTCTCTCTCTCTCTCTGTCTGTCTCTCTGTCTCTCTCTCTGTCTCTCTCTCTCTCTCTCTCTCTCTCTCTCTCTCTCTCTCTCTCTCTGTCTCTCTCTCTCTCTGTGTATCTCTTTCTTCTTTTTTTGAAAAACAGCTCAGATAGCCAAACAGGATGTCCTTTTAGAAAACAGCTGACCTGCAGCCACTCCACACCCCGACTGTCCCAGCCTGAAGTCCTTGAGCCCCGGAGTGAAGAGCAGAGGCTGGGTGTCACTGTCACAGTGGCTGTGAGGGTGGGGGCAGCTGAGGCCTCCGCACCCAGGCCACGTTCCCTGGTTGGTCCTCACAAGCTGGCCGGTGTGGGCAGCCAGACACTGGGGACAGGGACTCAGGAGATGGCAAGGGACTTTGGGGGACAGAGTGGGGCAGAGTCCTACGGTCCACCCACCTTCCCATGGGCCAGGGTGCGACACTGTGCATCCTGTATAGGAGAACGTGTTCTCTTTGAAAATCTTTTACTTATAGGAATATTAACACTATTTTGAATGGACTTTTCCAAAATAAAGCTTTTTCTCCTTTTTATTATGTACGTCTTCAGTAACTATATGAACAATTTAATATGGTTTAATTTCTACTTTCAAATTTTCTTAACCGCTTTCAATATAAGTAATGTTAGTCTTCTAGAAATGCAAATTTGATTATATAATTTCTCTTGCATAGAAAAAAATGCAAAGTTTTCATTATCCAAGCAGAGCCTCGATTTCTCTTACCATTTAATTTTCAGTCACTTTTCCCTGACTGCCTACATTCCAGCCCTACCATCTTCAATTCAGTTCCTCTACTAGCTAACGTTTTGCCAATTTAAAATTTTAACATGCGGGGCCAGGGATTTCGCTCAGCAGCATAATCGCAAGGTCATGAGTTCAGTCCCCAGTACTGACCAACCCACACAAAAGAGCTTAACATGTACCATGTCATTCTGAAAATCACTTTATCCCACTGTTCATTAATGGATCTTTATCCATAACTGACTCATCTTAAATGATGCTTCCTTCAAGAAGCTTCCTCAGGGAACATTTTTTTTTTTCATAGAAAACAAGCGAAACAGAACATTTTTAAAATAAGCTTCTATCCATTAATCTCTGTCATATCAACGTTTTCCCCCCAACACTTCAACCTATTGAAATGAATTCTGCATTACTTATTTACTGTTCATTTGGTAATTATTTATTGTTACTCCTCCCCACACATCAGTCTGCGATGTCAACTGATGGTTAAATCTATCCTCATCTTGCTAACCACTGTATAGCTAGTGCCGAGTTATGGGGATGATACTATTATTAAGGATACATGTGTAAGTAGTTGTTGATGGTAAAATTGGTAAGAAAGACCAGCATTAATCTAAAAAGTTGTGTTTCCTGGAAGAAGCATAAATCATTTTTGTAGCACCAAATACAAATATAAAATCAGTTAGCAAACAAACTGCCAGAGATGCAGACATTGCTTTCATGAAAATTAAAAAAAAAAAAATTATCAGTCAGAATCATCTCCAAATAGAATGAACAATGAAGTCGTTGGTTTTAAACACAAATTTCCTATAAGGGTGATGCTAATGTGAATTCCTGAATTTAGTAAGAGAGGTAAAGGTATTTTTTTAAAATAATAAATTTCTGTGTCCTGTATATTTATGTCATTTCTTCGAGGGTCATATAAAACATTTAAATCTATGAGAAAATGTTTTTCTTTAAAGGAATACTGAAAAGTAAAGTGGTATTTGTTTTTCTTCTTTTTTGATACCACGAATCAAACTCAGCATCTTGCATTTGCCAAGCAGGCACCGTGCCACTGAGCCACATCCCCAATCCTTTAATATGTATTTAAAACACCACTTTGAATAGATTTGGAGGTGTAGAATAAGTATTTTTTTCTAAAAATAAGATTGCTTTGAGTTATAGGTCAAATATAGAGCTCTGTGTAAATCTAGAGTAGAACATGTAATTACAGACTCTGCACATAAAATCACTGAAATTACTTTGTTGTAATTATATTCTATCATAACACATACAATAACTTTATCCAATGCCGAGGAAGAAGTGTCCTGATTGTATTTGAACCTATTCCCAAATCTAGGATTTCAGTTTATGAAGGATTTACATGCTGCCTACTCAATTAAATATTTTTAGACACAAGCCTTATTGTGTAAAGAATACTCATCTTGTCATGAAAACAACAATATACACAAATAGATGAAAAATATACATTGCACAAACACACATAAACTGTAAGAGTCTTTCAACTCTCATGTAATACATGCAATATATTCGTTTAATTTTAAAATTCTGTCATGAATCTCCAATTTATTTGATATGTCCCTAAGTATGCTTTTGCATTAAAAATCAAAAGAAAATATGTTGTCCAAGAATTTCACAAAACATCTTATTCTAAACAAGTAGCACAAATCATAAGGTGATGTCTCTGTATAAAAAGTATGATGGTTTCTAAGGCCATGATTAACATTGTAGATTTATAAAAAAATCACAGTAAATTTGCTAAGAGTAAAGTTTAGGAAATATACTCCTTAAATACCTGAACAAGCTACAGGTAATTGAATGTCATTTGGGAGATCACTGATCAGTTTTTCCTTTATGAAAAAGGTGTAAAGGGAAACGAACTAATTCAAAGGATCATCATAGTGATAACTGAGAGGAACACAGTAATACATTTGACAAAATTCTTGGTCCACTGTTTGCATACAAACATTTTTACTATTTTTTGAATACAATAAGTTTCAGTGACTTTTCAAAGTTTAGGTTGATGGATTCCCTGAGTGAATTTATTTTTTTTATCTTGATACTATATTTTCTAAGGTACAAATTGTCGTATCTGTCTAAATAAGTCAAATAGTATAACCTTTATATAATTTATAATTTATTTCATTTCAATCTATTCTTACATTTTTCTACAATATGTTATCTAACAAAGGCAATCATTAAATAACTTCCTAGTAAGATCATTCATGTGTGAATTTATATATATATATATATATATATATATGTATGTATATATTTAAATGACATTTATCACTGCTAAATATGTCAACACATTTATTATCAACTTCTTTATATGAAATTGATATGATACTGCATACCCATTAACTGGATCCACCACAATTCCTCTTGGATGGGACATTTCTCCCTCTAAAAGAGTCTTCCGACTCTGAGAAGCTTTTTCCAGCCTGGCCACATTAATGGTTTTCCTATGACCATCATTTGTCCAGTAAAGGTTATTTCCAATCCAGTCTACAGCAATGCCTTCCACATTATCTAAATCTGTAAAACAGAACAAATAAGAAATAAACAAAGTGTACAATTATAGTAAAACTACTGTTCACTTCTGATATTTTACTTAATAAAGAACTTAATTTTTAAAAAATTATGGATTGTGATATGTGTATTTTTATGTTATAGTTTTTTCCACTATTACTACTTACACAATATTCTTCAATTTATTTTGAATATCCCTTACATGACTGAGGGAATCTATTCTTTTTACATGCATTGCTTTCATATGCACAAAAGTTTACAAATTAATGATGATATTTTAACTGAACATCACTATATCATAATTGAAATAATGACCTGAAGAAAAACAGGAAAATGTAATTGATGTAAGGGCAAGGAGAAATATGAGTGAAACATAGAGGCGGTTTCAAAGAATATTCTAATACTAAGACAGAAATTCCAGGTTGTAACACCTAATCTGAATAATCATGATAATAAGACTGACCTCTTAGCAAGAAATGAACAGACCCATCAAGAGCACATATTTGAAAACGTAGAAAAGCCTTTCATCATAGAACTGCTTGAACCATAAATCTCAGATGAGTGCAATACTTATGTATATTTTAGACTTATTTTTAAAGGAGCCTATTATAGTCTTCTAGAAAATATAGATAATGATAAATCAAAGCATGTGCATAAACATCAAAACTTGTGATTTCTTCTGATTCTAATCTTTTTATTTTACAAAAGGGGAAACTGCAACACTTCAAAGTGAAAGCATTTGTCTATAACATATTTAACCAAGAAACAGTAAAATTAAGATAAAAATCCAAGTCCTATGACTACCACATGAGGAAATCTTCAAATTAGTTTCTATAATGAGTTTCTGTAGATCCTGTAAGGACAGGAAGGTCTTTTTGTCATTTTATAAATGATACCCAAAACTACCAGCATCACAAAAATAGTTTCACACATCTATTTCATGATGCAAACTGTTTGCTAGCTTTCAGAACCAAGGAGGAATATTAATGGACAAAGTATTAGGAAGTAGTACGTTAGAGGCAAGAAGCCATGTAGTCACACAGTATGGAGAAATCTACTTACATTTCATCATATGAAGGTGTAAGAAATATTTGCTATTATCAAGTCCTCTAATTATAATTCTAAGGGCTCTGGAGACAAAAGAAAATTTTCTTCCGTGACCCCTTCTACAAATCAACATGTGCCCTGACTCAGGATGACTAATACAAAGTGTGATTTGCTCTAACTGAGAATCTCATTAAACTGAATCAGATATGTTCTCAATTTCTCTAAGCTATCTGCTTCATTACCATCCAATATGAGAGATTTTCACAGGTTAATTGTGCTTATAGTTAGAAAAGTTTAATTTTATCTTTACTTTATTGACACTTAATTTTACTGAGCACTTTCCTCTTCTGGCATAATAGAAAGAGAGCAGCTATTTACTCTTTTCTATGTTGCGTAGTTATTAGCTGATATTTTTATTGCTCCTCAGACTTTTCTATATGATCAAGTCTATAACTGATTTGTATCTTCTTATTTGCCTTTCAAAAATTGTATTACATTTGAAAACTATACCAGCACAGAAAGATTTCAAGGTTTTCAATCTTCTTATTTTTAGAACTTTTCTTCACATATTGAGACTTCATTATTTTATATAAAAAATTGCAATAGTGTTCTGGATGGAAATTCTGTTGAAATTTGGATAAACAACTCATTTATTCTGCTCCTTAATTTTCCATTGTAAAGTTAAGATATAGCCTTTATCACTATGGTGATAACAAGAAATATATTAGCTACTGTGTGTAAAGCACTTATCAGATGGCCTAGAATATTGTATCTTCAGTTTAGAGAACTTTTTCTTAGTTTATCTAGATTTTTAATGTTACACATTCTGACTTTTTTCCTAGTGGATGTTAGGAATATAATTTATACTTTTTAATGTTTACTCAATGTTTACTTGCATTTTTTACCAGTGGCTAATGTCAACTAGAAATAATATATGGAGACTCATTTACTAATAATTAGAAAACAGAATGGAATTTCTAAGGAAACAGTTTCAAATATGATTTTATCCTAGTTTATTTATTTCTTTTAGAAATTAAAATGCTTGAACAGTTCAATTAAGTAGTGAATGAGATCACAATATTTTAGATAACAACTACCTCTAGCTGCATAACTTACAAATTGAAAAACATATTTAGGCTTTTATCTCCTTAATTTCTTTATCTATAAAATAAATATAATGATAATGTACAACTCATACTTCTTATTTTATGAAAAAAACAAGAGAATTCATAACAAAGTGATAAGAAAATAACGATAGTGCATACACATTATGTCATTATCTTCAAGTAGTTGCTCAGAATATAAGGCACAGACAAAACATGATCCTTTCTCTTACAAAGAAGTAGCAGATAAATAGCACAATGGTTTCTTCTTCAATGAACTAAGAGAAACAAGAAGTATAAATGAGCCAAATTAACATGTATATTAAAATTATTTGAAACAAAAGAATATGCAATTTTGGAAATTTTTTAACATCTCTCCCACTTTCTATTTTACTATCTTCTATTTTACTCTTTATCCAATACTTACATATAAATATAAGCCTAGTAAGAGAGTTTCATAGGATCTTTTGAAGGTGAAGTACATAAATAAATGTGATTTTCATAAAATAATTATTGGAATATAGTAAATTTTATTTCAATATTATTATTACTGAAAGTATCTTTATATTTATAAATCTCCCATTAGCTAGTTATGTAGTCTATTAATATACTAATGAAAGGACTTACAGTGTTCTTCTCTTGCTTTGTTGTTTGTGTTTCATTTCTTGTTATAGGATAACAAGACTGAATACAAAATGTAAAACTTATTTAAAAGCCTAATGAAAGATTCTATATGCAAACTGGAAATATTTTTATCTATTTTAATCCAGTAGGAATTTTTTTCTCACTTAAAACCTTTGAAATAAAATACCCTTATTCAACAAATATACATGTATAAAGAAATCATTCTGCTTCCACATTATTTGATCTCTTTTTTCAATGAATTTATGAGTTCAAACACTAAAATATACAGAGATTATTGGTCTTGTGCACATTTGATACTTTATTTACAAAAGCCTGTGTTTGGGTCTGTCTGAGATTGATTAATAAGAAATTTAGGAAAAAAAATTCTTGATCAGAGACATAGGATGATTTGTGGAACTGAACAAACAAATGTAAGTTGCCATGGAGATTCTAACTATTGATTCGAGGATATACATGGCATGTCAAGAGCAAAAAACAGTGCTTGATATTAAAACTTCATTGGACAAGATTACTTTGTGAAATTTGACAAGATTTCAAGTAGTCTGCAGTAGTAAATCCATATTCATTACTATGTTATTACAATCATTACAAAACTAATAAGCAAAGATTCTAATTGTTCTTTAAACTTCAGTTAAAATATCCCCTAGCTTTCAAAAATACTCATTTTCTTATGAATAGGCAAAAAGTTGCAATATATTTATACCTCTTAGGGAGAAAAATCCAGTTGAAAATGATTCATTAAAAAATGGTTTAAGATTAAGGCTTATTTTGGGGATACAGTCATAGCTCAGTTACAGAGTACTGACTAACATGTGTGAAACTTTAGTTTTGAATCCAGAACCAGAAAAACATTAAGTACAAAAATATTATGCCTATATTTTTCATGGGAAGTAAAGAAACTGAATATTTTTCTACAAACTTTAGATCAAAATTAGATTCATGTATTATGTAAGATTAGTACATTAATTTTAACAAAAATTAATTTTTTAAAGTTTTTTATAGTATTACTATAATAATTTCAGAATAACTGAGCAAATCCCATTGCAGAAATATAGTACCCAAAGTTTTCAACTTTATTTGGGTAATCTATCCTTATCGTGAGCATTAACTTTCTAAGTTGGAGCAAAGTGTTTATAAGAGTGGAACGCATTAACATGCCTTAAATAGCTAAATTCACACCATGAATGTGGACATATTTGCAAGACTAGATGTTCCTGTCATTCTTTACCCAGCTTCAGGTCTGCACTTGGACAATTCTCAGTTCTCCTAGTCTTTCAGTTCAATTAGTGCAAACTCTCTTCTGTGCACCTCATATGGCCTTAGGCATCATAGCTCATTATGTAACTACCATGAATGATGCTGATTTAATTAATACTCTGACAGTAAAGTTTGCTGTAGAACTTGTCAGCTCATGGAGTTTGAGAAATCTTGACTACAGATTACAGTTTTTATAGTCTGTCCCTAATGACCAGCTGAGACTAATGGTTTCATCCTGATTTTCATTTCAGGACTTTCCTCAGTAATTAGATCAGGGATGGTGAATACTACGCATTCATCAATTAAAAAAAAAAAAACTCTCCTGTTGAGTCAAAGATATAGATATATAGAGTGCACAAAAGAGTCTTATTTTCTAAATAAGATAAACCATACTAAAAATGATGGTTTATTTTTATTGTCAAAATTATGTTGTCATTTTCATGGGGCAGGTGAATATTGACCTTCTTTCTATGGCATTCAGATATCTTATCTCTGATACAACATTCATAAGACTAAAGAAAGGGCCACAGTATGCATTATAGTTACCAATGTAGAAGTTCAAAGTGAAAATTAAAATGAAAGGTGTCCAGAATAATAAAGAAATGAGACTTTATTCTGTTTTCAAGCTAACAAGCTTGTCTGGTTTTATTTCATGGATGCTAACTGAAGACATAAACTTTGTATCTAGCATACAAAGAACTTTTAGATTCAAGGCACAAGTAACAGTTGTCAGTATAATTGTCGGTTGTCTTTCCTCCAAAGATCCCATGGAAGCAATTGGAAAAGGTGAACATTGATGTCTCAACAGTAAGTGCATTCCAGGAGAAGAATCCTGAGTGTAGGAAACCTAGATCTAGCATCATGGGTGGCGAACAGAGCTTACTGTTTGCGCTGGGGAAAGACTATTCTACAATAATTTTCTGCAATAGCATCCTTGAAGATCTACTTCAGAGC